TGTGCGGCCCCACTTGTTTCAACACGACATTCTGATTAATATTGTGTTTGTGGAATATGAATTAAGCATCAAAATCCACCTGTATTTGTCCATCTGAGGGGGCGGCCTTGGCGGCACTATGATGTCATTTTTAGTGGACTGCAAGGAGCAAAATGGCCGCCCCCTGAGATGGCTAAAAACGGCTGGATTTTACTGCTTAACTCATATCCCACAAACAGTATTAATCAGAATGCTGTGTTTCAACAAGTGGGGCCGCGTAGGACATATTCTTATCAAGAAAATGTTTGACTTGATTTCTCTAATTTCGAAAATGTCATTCTTTTCTTATTCCAACTTGATTTGTGTACAAATGTGACATCATTCTTGACAAATTACAACTCTTTAGTTATGGCCTTCCAACTTTATTGTTGTAAAGTTGCCACATTTTTTTTCTCTTCAAACTGCATCTTACACTTGATATGACAATTTGACTCCAGCAACACGTCAAGTAAAATCCGGCATGAGGCAAATAGCAGGCGAGTGTGGGCCTTGTGGGCCTCACGTCACGTTGTAACTGGTATGTCCGCAGGTTCATGTGGCCTGAGAGGAAATGTGTCACTTTGGGAAGTGAGTTTTTTTTTTTTTTTTTTTTTCTTTGCGCCTCTGCTAGTTGGACTGCATGCTCTGCAGAGCCGTGACCAGCGTCAGTAGGACCCTATAGTTCCGGACCCTCACTGACACTAGCCGACGCCATTAAACAAACATGAGGAATTTCTTACTAAATGTACTAACCCCCACGCCACTCCACCAGCCTGCTCCCTCTTCCTCCTCCTCCTCCTCTTCCTCCCCGTTAATGCCCATGGGAAGCTTCTCCCGATCGGCGGGAAGTCATCCTAATCTGTGTATGAAATGTTGTGTGCCCTCCCGCAGCTGTCCGACCCCGGGCTGTGACGGCAGCGGCCACGTGACGGGGAATTATGCATCGCATCGGAGGTAGCGTAATTAATCTCTCTCTCATTAGCATCGTCTGCCACCTCGCACGAGACACCGGGCGGCGGCTGCACTTTCAAAAGCGTGTGACCAAAAAAAAATAAAATAAAATAATAGGCAAAAACACTTTTTTTTGAGTAATATTATAATTTTATTCTATTAAAATGACAACTGTATTCTCTTAAAACAATGTAAACTCATTTGAATCTCCCTGAATGTCTCTCGGCGTTATTATTTTTAAATCTTTTTTTTTTTTTTAATTTTGGAATAGTCTGACCTTATTTATTTCAATCTATGAAATTAAAACTATGGCTTTACCTATGAAAAATTCTGCTTTATTGTTGTAGTATTACAACTAATATCTTTAAATGGTGACTTTGTTCTTCAACTTCTAAGACTTTTTTCTGGGCATGATGACTTTTTTGTAGTCATCATGTAATCATACTAAAAAAACGATTTTCCGGTATTTAAACTGTATTCTCATATTAGAACTTTATTAGTCTCAAATCAGAATTTTTTGATCGCAGAATTTTTTACCTAATGTCACAAGTACATTGTTGGAAAATTGACTTCAATTTTAATATTTTGACATAAGTCGAATAAAGCGACAGCTATTTTAATCACCAAAAATGTCACTTGTTTGTCCTGTTTTTTCTTTTTCCTGATAAAGTTTTGAAGAATTGCTGTATTGTTGTAAAATTGCAACATAAAACATTCTTCATTTTCTTAATTTTTTTCTTGTGATCATTGGACATTGTGAAGTTCATCTGCGACTCAATCCCAAATTGAAAAAGATGACTTTTGCCCTCGCGGTCCTCACAAAATGTTGACCTTGTACAAAAAAAAAAAAAAAAAATTAAATTAAAAGACTTTTCTTTTGATTATTTCAATTTGGTAAAACCATAACTATTTTGTTCAGTAACATTTCACTAATGTGACTTTATTTGCCCTTTTTTGCTCTTTCCTCATAAAATGTTCACTCTTCAAAAATCAACATGGCTCTTGTAAAATCGCAAGCTTGAGCTTTAATACCTGAAAGGCATGACTTTTCTTGTGATTTGACTTATCTTTGGGTAAACTCCCACTATGTTGGTAAATAACGTTTCACTATAGCTGGACTTTATTTGCCTATTTTTTCTTCTTTTTTTTTCTTTCTTTCTTTATCTTTTCGCTTTTTACTCAAATAGACAACTTTGTTGCTGTAAAACTGCAACGCATGGCATTATCTTAAAATTGTGGCTTTTCTTGCTGTATGACTTTAAGCAAAACTACAAGTTTCCTAAATAAGGTTTGACTAAGATGACTTTGTCCACCCCCCGCCATCTACTAATTTGGTAGGATGACTTTTGGTCAAGTAAAATTTCCCATTGCTGTCGCTTTTAAAAAACCATCCAGGCCGATGAAAACAACTACAGCTGACTGTGGGCAACCCACGGGGATTGAAAAAAACAAACAAACAAACAAACACCAAAAAAAGCCCAAAATACGAGCGCTTTGTGAATATTTGCAAACAAATAAAAGCATGTGCGCGCGTTTAAGATGCTTTAATGCAGCGGTGTGATCAAAGAGTTCACTGAGATGACTGTTAGCTCTTTATCCTCACCGCAGCGTGTCTGGATGTCCCCTGGCTGACAAGACACTCAAGTCGCTGATGGCAGCCAACTCTCAGGAACTCAAGTACGTATTTAAAACACGGCCATTGTTGTTCTTGTTGTTGTTGTTGGAGGATTTGACACCTCAGAACAAGCTGGTTCTGCTCCGCCCCTTGCTTCTCTAGGATGCATATTTCTACGCACTTAAGGGATGAGTTTCTTTGGCATTTGCAGCGATGGCGGTGGCTATTTGCATGATGAGCATGATGTGTGTCTCGGCTGTGCAGGTGCCCGACACCTGGTTGTGATGGATCGGGACACGTGACGGGGAACTACGCGTCGCACAGAAGGTAGCCATGGCTGAGGGGCGGCGGGAACGCGAATAGCAACCGCTGAACACATTTGTCAGATGCGTGACATTGGAGCAGACGGTGAAAGTCTCACTCTGTGTTGCAAACACGCTGTACTTTTTCCATTTCTGGTCTTGGGTTGTTTTCTTTTTTTTAAATTGATTTATTCGGTGGAGACCTCTTATTATCTTATATCTAATATGATTAAATAAATCAAAACATTTCTATTCATGAATTCGCTACTCTGTGTGTTTGTGTGTGGCGCATGGCTGAGCAACTCAACAACTTGACTGAGCAAAGAAGCATGTTCCACTTATCAAAAGTTAGCCTTGTTGACTAACACTAGCCAACAAAACTGAGCGCATCTCTGCTTATAATTTGGCTTAGACATGGGTTGGAACGACAACAGGGGTGATGTGGGCGTCGCTCCATGGTAATGTTGCAGGCGCTGGAGTCCAGGTGCTGCTTGAAAGGGGTTTTGGAGCTTTGCTCAGCCTCGCTGATCATGTTATGGCCCAAGAAGTTAACTATGGGCGTGATTATGACATAAATTTGTTCGAATGCATAGACAAAAAAAACGGAAATACGAAAAGAAAATGCCGTACTTCCGCACTATAAGGCGCACCTAAAAGCAGTCAATTTTCTCAAAAGCCGACAGTGTTCCTTATAATCAGATGCGCCTTATATACGGATAAATATTCTGATACCTTGGATATAGTATTTTAAATCTTATGAAAATCACTTTGTTCCAGCTGCAGAGGTTGTGAAAATGCTATATAAATAAAGCTGTATTGTATTGTATTGTATTGTATTGTATTGTATTGTATTGTATTGTATTGTATTGTATTCTAGTGGATGCATAATGCAACCTGAGCCACTGTTGTAGCTTCTATTCTATGCACCTTATAATGCGGTGCGCCCTATATATGAAAACATTTTTAAAATAGGCCATTCAGTGAAGATTTGCCTTATGCTCCGAAGCGCCTTATAGTGCAGAAAATACGGTACTTGTTTAATTTCACAGCTGATGAATGGACAGGCACTCGTCAGATCCGACTGTTTATATACAAGTTATGAAAAGAGGAGCCTCCACTTCTCATATGTCCCCTTTAAATGTTCAATTGTGCTGTGCTGTTCTTCTTTCACAGCCTGTCAGGGTGTCCACGTGCCAGAAAAGGAGGTTTAAAGCTCACCCCAAGCAAGGAGGACAAAGATGAGCAAGAGCTTAAGTAAGACATTTCTCTCTTTAGTCGCTCTTACTTTGCTGGCTGTCACAAAAAAAGCGAGGTAGCAGCCTTCGTATACCTGCAGGCCATCAAGTTGCACAAAAAAAAAATCAGCAGCTTTTGTACTCACATTAGTGAATTACTTTCCTAGGATTAGTACGCTGTGATGTGTTTTGTGGGATTTGAAAGAGAATATCAGGCTTATCACTCGCTCGCTGGCTCTCTCTCTTTTGCTTTCTCTCTCTCCCGCTTTGAGTGCTTTCTTTGTAATTATGTGAAGAAAACGTCGCCAGCGGCCTCATCATCCAAAACAATAATGTAATTGACATGTGAGCCTTTGTGGACGTGTACATCTGGATGCTGAGTTTTTTTTTTTGTTTTTTTTTTTAATTACTAATGCATCAGCTTATAGGCATTAAACGGGTATGGATCTCATACACATTAAGAGAGGAGGGAGGGGTGTCGGTGCCCAGATGGCACGGCCTTTTTGGGTCTACCTGTGGTTGGTCAAATACAAAATGTGGACCGTGATTCCCTTTGCTTTACATTTAGTTTGAAAGTACAACACTCAGCCTCTCTTTGGCTGAATTGCTCACAATTTGCCAAACTGTGGCCTGTTGTCAAATTGGCTGCCACAGGAGCTCGTGCTCACAACTTCCATGTTTGCTTGACCCCCACCCTAAATGTCTGAAATGGCAGGAATTACAGTTTATTTTCCTTATTATAATATTAATACCTGCAATGACTTTTATTGTTTCAATTATTATGTAGGGCTGCCCGGTGGACCAGTGGTTAGCGCGTCAGCCTCACAGTGCAGAGGTCACGGGTTTGATCCTGGCCCCGGCCTTCCTGTGTGGAGTTTTCATGTTCTCCCCGGGCCTGCGTGGGTTTTCTCCGGGTACTCCGGTTTCCTCCCACATTCCAAAAACATGCATGACAGGCTGATCGAACACTCTAAATTGTCACTAGGTGTGATTGTGGGCGTGGATGGTTGTTCGTCTGTGTGTGCCCTGTGATTGGCTGGCAACCGGTTCAGGATGTCCCCCGCCTACTGCCCAAAGACAGCTGCGATAGGTTCCGTCACCCCCCGCAACCCTTGTGAGGACAAAGTGGATCGGAAAATGAATGAAAGAATGCTTACGTTATTCTCATGAGCCTGAATACTTTTCGACTTTTAGGGTTTCAAATGTTTTCATGAAAAACAAAAAACATGTTTTTGCCATTTTCTCTTTTATTGTATTACTTTATGCTTCATGCAAATGCTACTTTCTTCCCCACAAATTTACAGCCTTGTGTCCTAAAATCTTTCTCATGAAAATGCTAAAATGATGTGTTTTGTGTGGCCGTTGCACCCCTATTCTGCACTCTGCACCCCACCCATCCTTTTTATCAGTCGTAGCACACAGGGGCAGACAATTTGTCCAACTCACTACTGAACTGCACAGTGGCATGTAACAAAACAACAGCAACATATCAAGCCTGTAAAAGCAACTCTTGATGAAATTTTCCGTCGGCGCGCTCCCATTAAAGTTCAGCGTGGATTAGTTACTTCCACTTAATGCGATTATTTGAGTCCATTTCCAGTTTTGGCCACTTCTTTTTTTTTTTTTTTTTTAATCAGCATTTGGCTGGATTAATCAACTTAATGGTCAACACATCTTCCGGTCCAGTTATTGAAAGAGATTGTTTTAATGATCTCAGACCCCGTTTTGCTCACATACATACATACATACACACATATATACAGGTGTGTGTGTATACATATATATATATATATATATATATATATATATATATATATAAATGTTCTCTTATCTTGTCTTATCTTTTATGCGTATATTGGAATCTTGTCATGGAGAGGCATGCACTGAAAGCATAGAAATGAAATAAATTGACCCAAAGAAAAAAGAGGGGGAAAAAAACATTGTTAACCAAAAGTTCTTTCTTTTTTCTGGATCTGGACACAAATTCTGTAATATTACCACGGCACTCTTTTCAAACTTGCAAAGGACCTCCTCAAAAGATGGGACTTACTTTACATACCATAATATTGCAAATGTTTTCTGTGGAAATAATTTTAGCGTGTGAATTTATAACTTTATTCTTTCTAAAATAGCAATTTTTGTTGTTGTAGTTATTTTCCAGTATGATTTTTATTTTACTTTCCCTCGACAGAATATACAGTTTTTCTGTTGTTGTATTTTTGGTCCAGCCTTGTGTCAAGTTGACTAGAAATCAGATGTTGTTGTTGTGTCATCATTCTCATAAAGAAGCAAACAAAGGTGGGACGATAAACACCCCGGACTGGTTGCCAGGTAGACCCATGGTCAACTTAGTGTCTTCAATAAACATCATGGACATGTTTTTAAAACGTGGAAAGAAGCTGACCAAATGTTTTATCACTCCCCCCAAAAAATTCCAACATGCATGGTTGTTTTTCCATCAGGTGTCCGGTTTTTGGCTGCGAGGGGCAGGGCCACATATCGGGCAAGTACACGTCTCATCGCAGCGCCAGCAGTTGTCCGCTGGCCGCTAGGAGACAGAAGGAGGCCTCCTCCCTCAACGGGCTGCCCTTCGCCTGGAAGAGCAACAAGCAGGAGTTGCCTCACTGCCCTCTGCCCGGCTGCAACGGCCTCGGTCACGCCAACAATGTGTTTGCCACGCACAGAAGGTGAGGCTCACCTTCACGTCACAATACCATGTGCATCGGCTTCATGCTAAATTGCCCTGTCTTGAATCGAAAAGCTTGTCAGGATGTCCGCTGAATGCGCAAAGTATCAAGAAAAAGCACTCGGAAGAGGAGATGATGACCATCAAACTGAAGGCCAGCAGCGGTAAGTTTTTCCTTTTACATGGAAAAAAAATGGTGGGTGAATTTACTCAATTTCATTTCATCAAGTGGTTGCACAAAATAAAATCCTCTGTATCTAGATACATTTTTAAAATGGATGTATAGTCTGCTTAAAGAAAACATCTGTCTGGATTCGTTGATTTTATTTCATGCAACCATTCAAAGAAATAAAATTGAGCAAATGATGCACTATTTTTTCAGTCTAGGAGCATGTTCACATTTGCGCACACACGCAACATTACGTACACTTGACCAGGTCTGCACTCCTTCACGCCGAGCTTCTCCTCTCCTATAAAAAGGTATTGTCTTTTGTAGGAACCGACCAATTTCATCATCCCATCTATACTCCTTTAAAATCAGTAAAAATCGGCCAATTTTTGGCCATCTTTTCCTCACACAATAACACATTACAACACAAAACAAAGATAATGGAATGAAACAATGACTGCAAAATAAAAAAACAAACCAATTTGTGCCAATTTTCTCTCTGTCGTGAAATTAAACTAATGCTAAAGGACATAGTATAGCTGACAAGGCAAATTGTTGCACTGCCCTCGACTTTTTGTTTGTTCTATTTTCATACCCAATGCAAGCCTCGCACAGTGTGCGCAAGGGTGGAGCTTTCTTTCTTTTGCTACTTTTGTAGACGAATGCAGTTAGAAATGAGCGTTTGAGCCGTTGTGGGAGTGAACACAGCTGACTTCATTCCCGGCCAATCAGAGAGAGGCTCCCCTCATTCCCTTTAAAGTGAGCGCTCTAATTGTGCCGTAGTCACTCTAATGCTTTTATATATATATATATATATTCACATCTACAATTATTTAGAGGCTTCGATATCACATTTCTAAATAAAATATGATAACCTCCACCACGCATATCAACGGAGCAGAAAATCGGTGTGCCTGCGCCCCGAGCAAGTCCGGCAAAATCGCGCTACTCCACCTGTGCCATAACTTAGATCTGCTTCAAGCTGGTCTTAAGTTTAGTTGACTTTCTGTCACTCAATGGACAGGTGTGTTGGGAGCATGTCATCGAAAACGAAAGGCCCAGTGAGGCGCTGCATGGTCTGCCAAATTTCTAAACACGGGAAACTAGACTTGCCCCAGCACAAAAATGAAACCGCAGCGGTTTTTACACTCAGCGCACATGCACCTCTCTATGAAAATACACCCTGTAACGTCTTTTAATTTAACTTTACTCTTGATTTTGTTTTGATGTAATTTTGCAAACTACACTATATTCACAGAAAATTAGATCCAAAATAAAAAAAATTAAACGATCAACAAAGAAACACGTATAGCGTATCCAAGCACCATTTAAAATGAAGACTTTTCGCAGACATACATCACTTCATTCTGGTACTTGTGTGACTCTCTTAAAATGTCAACTTTGCTTTTATATTTCAAAGGAATTCTATTAAAATGACAACTCTCTGTAATATTACAATATTATTGTTTTTTTTTAGCTCATGTCTTGTAAAATGAAGACTTTATTATGAAAAATAAGACCTCGCAACTCCACTCAGACCGACAACCAGCACACCTGAACTCTGGCTGTTTCTCCTCATGAATTATCTTGGCTCTGGTCCACGTAAAACAATCATTTTCCAGCACCGTTCTATAACCAGCGAACTTTGTACATTGGTATTATTACTGACAACAAATTAAGATCTGATTAAAATATTGTAATTGAAATTGGGTAGATGCAATCATCATGGCAGGAAAACTACTGTTTTGGTTTTTTAAGATGTATTCACCAATCAAAATGTGCTACTTGCAGGCATTGAAAGCAAAGAGGACGGTCAACATTTGGAGCAGGACATTGAGCAACTGAATGAATCCAACATGCAAATGGAGGCGGACATGAAGCAGCTGCAGACGCAGGTAAGCATCAACTCCTTTGTGGAGAAAGGAAAAGCGGACATCTTTTGAACTGGACGGCTCTGCCGCTGTCGTCGTTTTTCTACCCGAAAGCAGATCTCGTCGATGGAGTGCAACCTGAAGAGCATCGAAGAGGAGAACAAGATGATGGAGCAGCACAACGACGGCCTACTCAAGGAGTTGGCTCGCCTCAGCCAAGCGCTCATCAGCAGCCTCACCGACATCCAGCTGCCTCAAATGGTACCGCACACACACACACACACACACACACACACGCACACACACGCGCATGAGCCAGACATTGCATTTGAATAGCAAGCCGTGGTTTTTGCCGTGCGCAGGGGCCCATCAGCGAGCACAACTTCGAAGCCTACGTGAACACGCTGACGGACATGTACAACAAGTCGCAGCGCGAGTATTCGCCCGAGTGCAAGGCCCTGCTGGATAACATCAAGAAGGCCATCAAAGGTATCCACGTTTGAGCTTTGCCGACCGGGCGCACGTGCGACACGTCAATGTCAAAGGCCGCTTTGAGAGACGGCCACGTTTGTACTGCTTTTCACTTTGGTTCCTTTGATCCTGCTGAGATTTCCACTTCTCTTGCACTTCGTTTTCTTTTGATGACAGCTATTTATGATGATGATTCTTATTATCCATGATTATCGATATCCTATTTGTCCATCGCTGTATTTATTATTATGAGCATTATTATCATTTGACTCATGTGTATTTATTTCTAGAGATGTAAATGATTGAGAATCTCCCCTCCACCCCCCCAAAAAAAACAACATTCCAATTTTGTGGCGCACGTGCATTACAGTTAGTTCTTCATTAAAAAAAAGTACTAGTACACCAAAAGTGAACCTATTTTTATTGGAACGTGAATGTATGCTAGATGATGTGACAACACTGCAATGCCACTGTACTGTACCTTTTTCTTTTTTTTTGGTCTTTATTTCAATTTAAACGGCAAAAATGCATAACAAAAAAACACTTTTTCCATTACTATCAAATATAATTATTATAAAACTGCCTTCTGTGCACACACACACACACACACACACACACACACACAGTCACACGCACACAGTCACACGCGCACACACACACACACACACACACACACACACACACAGGTGAGGTGTGCATGTCGTACGTGCCTAAATGTATATGGATCCGTTTTAAAATATTTAAAAAGGAAAAAAAAGACTACAAGTACTCTGTTTTGTTTGTGCTAGGGCAGTATTACGTGAATGGGGTTTCCTTTATTCACAGTACACTTATTTTCGTTTCTATAGCTCAGTAGCTGATTGCAATTATTTCTGATGTGATCCTTTTGCAAGCATTGTGAGGTCAAAGCAAACACAAATGGACTCCTGATTCACATTTTTACAAGTGCTTCAAAAAGCCTTAACACTCCTTCCTTAAGACACTTGCTATATTCTTGTATCGCTTGGGACAGATTTGAAGCTACTTAAAAAAAAATGTTTTACTTTCATCAAATTATGCCATATCCCCCCAAAAAGGTAGAAAAATCAAATACCATGTTGATAAATCAGTTCTTTGCAATTTTGCAATTGACTTTACTTTGAAGCAGGTCTGTGGGCCACGCTAATACCACAAATGTTCATGAGACTGTACATCATAAGATTGATACATTTTGCATCATTTTCCACAAATTTACTTTGGCCCCGGGAGGAGATTTTTAAAAACTGAAAAGGTTTACCAGCCCTGCTTTAAATCTTGAATTTTTTGCTCTCACTTCTGATACCCCACAAACAGCAAAGCACATTTCTGTCAACATGTAGCCAAGCTTACTATTTTCATGAAGAAAAAAAGCAAGAGCCAAATTATCACAGCACCACTCCTATTTTATCCAAATAATGTTTTAAAAATAATCCTAAAAAATTTGATTCCTCAAATGTAATCCTTTATTTCTATTTTCTTATATTTAATTCCTACCACACACATTGTTTGCTCAGGAAGCTCTGTGAATAATATTTATTTATCCCCCCACACCCCATACAATCTTCCTGTTAGTATTTGATGTTTTGTAATGTGAAATGCTTCTTTTTCGTGGAACGATTATTATTAGTATGATATGAGATTGTATTGTTTTTTTTGTTTTTTTGTTTTCCATTTTTTTATTGGACAGGATGACGTAATGATTGAAATTTTCCGTTGAAGTGTGTTTGTACATTCAAACTTACTTTTACGATTTCATAATTTACACACACAAAAAAGATATGCGCTGTGTTGTACAGTTTGTGTATGGTAGAAATAAACTTTTCAAACATTTTTTTTTTGTGTCTTTGCTTTCTGACTTAAGGGTGCAGGTTGAACATTTTCCGTCCTACATCAGCGACCACAGGCGATGAAGGGGCATCAAATTATAGAAAGGGGCATAAAGTTTGAAAAATCTTCCATCCGACAACCTCATATTCCCCCATACGTTGGGCAAGTGTGCTTCACCTCAAGGTGAAACGTCTTCAACAAACTGGACTCCATTTGCCCCAAAAATTCAACTTTTGCGTGTTACCTTGTGTGTTAGCACCCCTCTGTGGTCAAAAAGGAAGCATTACAACCACAAGTGGGCCATCCCTGGAAAAGCTGACGGGCGGCACAACTACATCATGTCAAGAGAATTATAGGCAAGGCAGCTTTATTTGTGTAGCGATGTGCTCTACATCGTTACAAAACAAAATTTAAAGACACAACTTTTATTAGAGTTTCAAAAAAAAAAAACTCTTTTTTTTTGGTCTTTATTTCAATTTAAACGGCAAAAATGCATAACAAAAAAACACTTTTTCCATTACTATCAAATATAATTATTATAAAACTGCCTTCTGTGCACACACACACACACACACACACACACACACACACACACACGCACACTGTCACCCGCGCACACACACACACACACACACACACACACACACACACACACACACACACACACACGGAAAATTAGTGTATGAGACATGAGGTCAGCCAAGACAAGGTACTGAATGACCTTAAGCAACATTAGAAGTGACAGATTATAAAGCGACAGTTTCCCTTTAAAACACACACACACACAGTCACACGCACACAGTCACACGCGCACACACACACACACACACACACACACACACACACAGGTGAGGTGTGCATGTCGTACGTGCCTAAATGTATATGGATCCGTTTTAAAATATTTAAAAAGGAAAAAAAAGACTACAAGTACTCTGTTTTGTTTGTGCTAGGGCAGTATTACGTGAATGGTGTTTCATTTATTCACAGTACAATTATTTTCGTAAGCGGAGGACCGACGTTCCTGATGACTGTTTCTATAGCTCAGTAGCTGATTGCAATTATTTCTGATGTGATCCTTTTGCAAGCATTGTGAGGTCAAAGCAAACACAAATGGACTCCTGATTCACATTTTTACAAGTGCTTCAAAAAGCCTTAACACTCCTTCCTTAAGACACTTGCTATATTCTTGTATCGCTTGGGACAGATTTGAAGCTACTTAAAAAAAAATGTTTTACTTTCATCAAATTATGCCATATCCCCCCAAAAAGGTAGAAAAATCAAATACCATGTTGATAAATCAGTTCTTTGCAATTTTGCAATTGACTTTACTTTGAAGCAGGTCTGTGGGCCACGCTAATACCACAAATGTTCATGAGACTGTACATCATAAGATTGATACATTTTGCATCATTTTCCACAAATTTACTTTGGCCCCGGGAGGAGATTTTTAAAAACTGAAAAGGTTTACCAGCCCTGCTTTAAATCTTGAATTTTTTGCTCTCACTTCTGATACCCCACAAACAGCAAAGCACATTTCTGTCAACATGTAGCCAAGCTTACTATTTTCATGAAGAAAAAAAGCAAGAGCCAAATTATCACAGCACCACTCCTATTTTATCCAAATAATGTTTTAAAAATAATCCTAAAAAATTTGATTCCTCAAATGTAATCCTTTATTTCTATTTTCTTATATTTAATTCCTACCACACACATTGTTTGCTCAGGAAGCTCTGTGAATAATATTTATTTATCCCCCCACACCCCATACAATCTTCCTGTTAGTATTTGATGTTTTGTAATGTGAAATGCTTCTTTTTCGTGGAACGATTATTATTAGTATGATATGAGATTGTATTGTTTTTTTTGTTTTTTTGTTTTCCATTTTTTTATTGGACAGGATGACGTAATGATTGAAATTTTCCGTTGAAGTGTGTTTGTACATTCAAACTTACTTTTACGATTTCATAATTTACACACACAAAAAAGATATGCGCTGTGTTGTACAGTTTGTGTATGGTAGAAATAAACTTTTCAAACATTTTTTTTTTGTGTCTTTGCTTTCTGACTTAAGGGTGCAGGTTGAACATTTTCCGTCCTACATCAGCGACCACAGGCGATGAAGGGGCATCAAATTATAGAAAGGGGCATAAAGTTTGAAAAATCTTCCATCCGACAACCTCATATTCCCCCATACGTTGGGCAAGTGTGCTTCACCTCAAGGTGAAACGTCTTCAACAAACTGGACTCCATTTGCCCCAAAAATTCAACTTTTGCGTGTTACCTTGTGTGTTAGCACCCCTCTGTGGTCAAAAAGGAAGCATTACAACCACAAGTGGGCCATCCCTGGAAAAGCTGACGGGCGGCACAACTACATCATGTCAAGAGAATTATAGGCAAGGCAGCTTTATTTGTGTAGCGATGTGCTCTACATCGTTACAAAACAAAATTTAAAGACACAACTTTTATTAGAGTTTCAAAAAAAAAAAACAAGAATTTAGGACATTTAAAATGATTTTGGAGAAATAAAAATACTTTCCTAAAATTACACAAAAAAAAAAAAAAAACACATAGAGAAGAATGTTATTTTGGGACCGGGGTAGAGAGGAATAGTTTTTAACCTGGATTTAAAAGCATTGACACTCGGGACTAACTTCAGATCCCTTTGGCAGATTATTCCATTTGCGTGCAGCATAACAGCTAAATTCTGATGCGCCGTGTTTGTCTGGTAATCATATGGCGTCATTTTATGACACAGATAAAATGAGATTGGCATGCATATCCAACTTTGTGTTATCAAGGATGGAAATAGAATTGAAATAAAAACAATCATGTCCTGTCATAATAAAATCAGTATACTAAGACAAGAAATCAAAAGTATTTGCTTTAATATTCACGTAATACAGTAAAATAATACAATTCATGCTCATTTGGTTCCATTTAAGCATCAAACAAAAGCGTAGGATATTTTGTCCAAATACCCCAATGGATACAACAGTTAACGTGTAACTAATTTTTGCTCGAATTAAAATATATGTGACCTCTTTGGAATTACCAGGGTACATGAACTGACCATGAAATGTGACTGGATCTATATCCTAAGCCGCGATAAATGACAAACACCCATTTCCTTAAACTTATCTTTCACAATCATAAAAGTGAGAGGTGAAAACTGAATGGGAAATGTTGGAGTTAATACGTGATTGAACCTCTTTTGGCAGCATTCACCACAAAACAATTCCTGCAAATTTGGGAATTGTTTCTTTTTACAAAATTTGCTCTCTTGAGGCCTTGCCCAGCATCACAATCGGGCTGAGGTGTGACTGGACATCTCCTGCAGACCAATTTTCTACTGTTAAAGCTATTCAAAGGTTACTTCTGTCCTTTTGTTTTTTTCTGCTGTTGCGTCATCCATCTCCTGTTAAGCTTCAGGTAGTCTTAGGTTCTGCTGGAAAATATCTTGAATTAAACCCGGCAATTTATTT